CCCTTGTGTGTGTGTTTCTAAGGGATTTCTCTCCAACCTGTCTGTAGGTATGTTTGTGTAACCAGACACTGAGAGTAGCTGTCTGCCGCGGAATTAACTCGGCAACCCCCAAAGCCTAGTTTGCATTCAAGAGAGGTGTTTGTTTTGCAGGTTTAAACCTCCAGACGGGTTGAAGAAATCGCCCGAAAGGAACCACTTGGCAGATTTTGTTTCCTCCCTTGAAATCCCACTGGACGTGGAGCAGGTGGGGGAACAGGAGGGGAATGATTTTGGGGGTGGAGGTGGGGGGGGTGGAGAGTGACCAGGGTACGGGATGGAGGGGGAGCGGGGTGTAAAGTTGGGGGGCCGGAGCCTCGTCTCCCCTCCTTCCTCCCCACCGAGCGCAGGGAAGACCGCTCAGGGCTCTCGCTTTTGTTTGTTAAAAATAAATACTACAGAAGTTGGCAAATTTCGTAGTTTTAGAGAAGTGAATTCTCTCCAGGATTAACGTGAAAAATGTTGATGTTTGAGGAACTACTCTTGCTCAACCCGTAAATAAAGTGGAGATGTTGACAGTTTGTCTAGCCTCTGGTAAACGAGAACAAAAAAACATTTCATTTCTTGCAGGGCATCAATAATTGTGAGGGTGGGAGGGAGAGGAAGGAGTTTAACTATTAACCTTTATCTGGGATCGTAAATGAGCTGAAACTCGTGTTTCTGAAGCTTCTTTTATGCATTTGCTTTTCTGTCCTTCCCCCCTCTGCTTCCCTTCCCCGGAGATGGTGAAAGGTAAATGAAAATGATGATGCTCACATTAATTGGACAAGCAGGCGATTTTATGGCTCACCAGTAAAAAATAAATGCCACGGGAAAGTTGCTGTTTGTAGTTCAAGCGGTGGGAAAGTGGTCTGGAAGGGGTGGGGGGGTGGCAAAGCAGCAGGGCTGGCTGCAAGTTGTGCTGTTACATTAGGGGGGGATGTTTTTGTGTTTCCAGAGCATTCACTTGAAGACGCCGGAGGACGATTTGCAGAAGGTAAGAGAGCCTTTTCTCTGCCAAAGATTACCCTCCCAGGCCATGTGCTGTGCAGCTACCTGAGTATTTGTCGTGCAGCTGAGGGCCCGTAGTGCCAGCTAATTCGCGTGTCTGTGTCCCAGTGAAGTGATAAATAGGAGACTGCTGTGCTGTTGGACTTTGGGGAAATACAGCTTTTTACAGCAAACAAATAGGTTGCTTTTACACACCGAGTTACTAGTTAGAGCTGATGAATTCCTCCCTTCCAAAAAAGGATACTCTTTCTTTTCTTTAACAGGATATAGTATGATTAAGAAAACTGGAGAGGAAGAGCACAAAGAAAAAGTTCTGGTTGCAATCCTTTTCTACACGTGAAAGTAATATGCCTAACTTAACGTGTAGGGCTTTTCCAACAGAGATGTTGAAGTTAATTGCAGTATGAATCGGGGAAAAAAATGCTCGTACCTTCTTAATTGCAGCTTTCACCAACATGTGGTATGTTACTTTGTGTCACAACTCTTGTCTGAAGTGAAATAAAATGACTCTTACTTCTCCTGAAAATAAACCGTGTCCAGTCACCAGAGTTTTTCTCCTTTCCAGAGGCTTAATGAAGTGGAAGCAAGAGGTTTTGGGGAAGAGACATGGGTAGGGGAGATATAGAATCATAAAATTGGCAGAACAAGTGTTTTCTGGGGGGCTTTGTTTGGCAGTATTGCAGTTATAAGCAAAATATGCTTTTCCAGTAAGGTTATTCCAAATGGCAATTATGAAACACTTTTTTTTTTTTTAAAGTTCTTAGGAAGAACATCTTAGTTGTCATGATGTTGTCATTCTCTTGTCTAGCAATTGAAAATATAAAAATTGAGTAATGCTGTTTGTTCTCATGAGTTATTGTAGAAATCTGTACAGCATACTCGGTTCTGAGGGAGTTCCTCTGTTCCCTCCCCCCTACTTTAAATGAGTCTGCCAGCAACAAGTGTGTTGATATACTGATCTGAAGGACTTGGGCATGGTGCCAACTCAAGCAATTTAAATGACATGGTTAATAGTATCTCTACTGTCCTTATCACACAGTAGTTGTCTTTAATAAACTCAGTGAACTTCCAAGTGATAATCATGGATGATAAATTAACTCAAGTCCTAGCTCCCCTATTCAGATGAATTCTGTTTTGCTTTGGTTGATAAATAATGAATAGTAATTCCAGCTGAACGATCAGGATCTGTAAAATAGATCTCTCTCCTCTAAATATATATATATATTTTTTTTTTTTTGAGGCAAATAAGAGCCAAACAGACTATCTTAAAGTATTTTAATGCTATAGTATTCTGAAGGCTAGCAGTGTCATTTTTCTTAAGTTTTTCTGCAGTAATAAACTTATGTGGAACAGTGCATCCTTCAAATGAATACTTACCGAACACTACAAAAGATGAAATAATTTTACATAAAGCAGATTAAGTCAGTATAATATGCCAACAAATTAAAACATTCTGTAACTCCTGTGAAGTATTTTGCATGGAAGTGAAAATGATTGTTCTATCTATTTCATTTTGAAACAGATAATTTTTTTTAAAAGCAGTTAATATAATTGCAGAAGAATGCATACTTACAAACAGTAAGCTTTTTCACAGTGGGAGTTTTAAGTTTTGCATACCTCTAACATTCATACTTTTCTCTTGTAGAATTAAGAGACTAGAATGTAATGTGAAGGTACAGAGGAAGAGGCAGAGTAGTACAATTGATAATTTAACTGAAAATTGTACGTATGGCTACTTAGTTTGTGATTTTTATTTTTTGAGATATTTGCTCCTAAAAATACTTGTGCTAGATCTCATCTTCCTGATTTCCAAACCTGCTAAATCGTGCCAAAAGCCATAGGAAGACTCATGTTCTCAACAGCTGTTAAGAGATTGCTAAGGCACTTAATAAAGTGTGTCATGTCGTATAATTTTGACTGAAATAGTGTTATGTGCTAAACTGGTAAGTTTGGAAATACCCTTCTTAATGACCAGTCCTTGAAAACTAGACAAATCTGCATGCATTTATGTAATGTCATAGGTTTGATTTCTTACTTCTTTATTTGCAAAATTCATTCCTCTGAGACTGGTGAAAATTAACTAGATTCTACCTATCTTTTAAAAGTAACAATAAAGAATAAAAATCATTGATTACTTTACTAAAAGCCATATACAAAAGAATCATCTGACATTTTTATTGTATTTTATTTTGTGGCTGGGTTGTTATATGGTAGCCACAACAAAAAGTTAGCTGAGTGTTAACTTTTGTGAAAGTGAGTGACTGAACCTGAGATAGTACTGAAATGTTATCATGAAACTTAACTTCTGTGGCCCAGAGAATAGGGCAAAGAACGGAGTGTGTCTTTATGTGTGTATTGATTATATGGTAGACACCTTAATGCCATTCCTCGACAGTAGGAACTTGTATGCCTCATCATTTAAAAATAAATGTTACTTGGAACCAAAAAATATTTAGGAAGATACCTGATGATGTGAAGGCACAGTATTTCTAGCAACCATTTCTGATATTTGATAACTTGCCCCCCCCTTTTTTTTTTTTTTTGATGCTGTGAAATCATGGCAACGGCTTTCTGATACTCAGGATGTGAAGTTAAAACTGGTCTTCATTGTTAAGCCTTGTAATTTATGAATTTTTTCCCTGCTGCCCTTCTCAAACCTGATAGCTCTTTCAGTTTCACAGCTGGCTTCATGTTCCACTTTTCTTTTTGCTTTGAACACGGAGTGGAAAGCTTGTCAACGTCTGCAGTCACACTGTTCAGTGCAGGGATGGGTGGTGATGCTTGAAACCATATGGGTGTTACTATTCAGTAATTTTTCCACTGTTCCTGATTCCCCTTTCTCATTAAAAACGATGTTAAGAGATCTCTTTATTAGCAATGTATCTCGTTAGTATGGAAGCACATGATGTTTCACATGTGTTTTCTAATGTTTTGCAAAGATAAAATTTACTACTTTAAGCAAAAGCTGGATGCATTAAATGCCCAGCAAATGTGTTTTAAGTTCAGAAAGACGTACAGATGTAGGTGTGCCTAAACCAGGTGAGTGTAGGGCCATTTCTCTTTGGCATGCATCTTTCTGTTTTGTCTTCCCTTTTGCCTTGTTCATCACCTAAGACCTGAAATCGCTGACATGCGTAAAGAGTGCAATCTTACTGCTGTGAGGAACGCCACTGAAGTAATTGGAGTAATTTTCAGTAAAGCAGTACTCTGTTTGCAGAACTGACTGGCCCTTGTGTTTTAAGCCCTGCAGGGCAGGGAATTGTCTTCAGTGTATTTTCTATAAAGTGCCTGGCATGCCTCTGTGTGCCAAAAAATGATAAAGAATAACAAATAGTTGATAATTTATGTAGATTTTTTTTTGTTGTTATGGAATTTGCCTATAGGGTTATTTCTAGCGCAAAAAAAAAAAAAAACCCGCCAGAGTGGCCTCCAGCTGGGGCAAAATGTACTCTAACGGTGGGAGAAGCTTTTAATCGAAATAAAACACACATTTGATCGATAGTATCTTCTGTGAAGCCATAGGGCCAAACATCAACTGGCGTAAATCAGTATATCTCTGCTGAGTCTGTGGAGACACAGATGACTTGCACCAGATGATGTGAGCGTCCTTTTTGGCTTTAACAGTTTTCCTTTAATCTTCTTGCCACTTAAACTTTTACTATGATCTGCCCACATTCCAGAAGCGTGGACTGAAGATGGGATAACGTTTCCCTATTTTCCTCCTCCTTTAAGCCTTTGGTGGCTTTTCTTTTATATGATGATGTATGCTTTATTAATTATATATGTTCTAATCCACCTCCAAGCCTGTGAAGGTACCTGTCCTCAAAAATCACACCTGAAATAGTGTCATTAAATATTCAGGAGCATTCCAGTCTCGTCTAGCTTGCCAGATGTAGGTGTATCATAAACAGCTTCCTGATGATACTGTATTTGTGATTAAAGGGTCCCAAGTACTCTTGTTAGTAACCTTCTTATTAGTCATTTGTTTGATGTGAAGAAGTTCAGAAACATTGCCCCCCCCCAACTATTTCCCAGAAATGATTTTACTGTCTGCCTAGTCTCTTAACGTTTTTAGTAGCTAAATGGCATCATTTGTGAGAAATAACTGAAAATGTTTAGTGTGCACATCTTGTGCAGTGGGAAGACTGGAATGATATTTGGGTAATAAAGGGAAGGAATAAATGATTTTTTTTTTCTTTATCTTCCAGACTACTAATAAACGTTTTTGAAGGCAGTGTTAGTAAACTAGCTCTTGGCAGGCATGGGAGAACTGTTGTAGAGCAGAGGGCTGTTGATTTTCAAAAGTTCAAGCTAAATCTTTTTCTTTCCTATTGAAAGTATAATGCAGGTTTTGGAATTTCAGTATAAATATTTTTAACAAAACTTGCTATCTTAATCAATGAAGTGAAATAATGAAGCTTGTTAGATGATTACCCAAAACTGATGCTTTTGGAGAAAGATGGGAGACTTGAGAATTTGTGCTGTGCGTTCAGATTTGGAAGCAAGGGAGATATCATAAATCCTCCCCCTGCTTCCCAGCAGCTATAAGGAGAATGTGATTAACTGCATAATCATTTCTGCTCAAACTTCTTCTCACCCTATGCCCAACTTTTCCTGAGGTTTATAGACTAATAATATCTTCAGTCGAAGAAAAGCAATAAGACGAAAGCAAAATGTTATCCCCAGATGCTGCAGTGATAAAGGTTACACAGAAATGCCTGTATTGCCTGATAAAGAGTGGATTCTTCAAGTGGAAACAAGCTTACTGCCTTTCCTTTGAACTGACTGGAAACTTACTTTCCTCTTTCTGGCTTGCCAGTTCCTCCAGAGCTGTAAAGGACTGAAGTAACTAAAGCTTTCACCAACCTTTTATTAAAGCAGGAAATATATGCAATTACAACAGTTCAAGTGACTCAATAAAGATACATGGAAAACCAATAATATATGCAATAATTTTACTTCTTACAGGACTCAGATGTAGATTTCCTTTTCATTTGTAGTTAGGAAAAACTTTGGATAAAAATTGTGATGCCAAAGAGCAAGAGCTGATGCTGTAAAACAAACAAACAAAAAATGCATGTTTCAGAGGCTATCTTGGTTCTGTTTTCTACTTGGTGATACAATCTTTGCAGAAAGTGGAAAATATTCTTGGAAAATTCTGAACTTGACTGTAAGACTATAGTACTTAGTCATTTTCAGAAATATGTGTCTCTTCAGTACGCTGAAGAGTGTGCAAGGAGAAATGTTTTCAATCTTTTTTTTGTCTATTTTACTGTCAGAAACACTTTGTGTCTCAAATTAGTCCTAACAGAACATCAGCTCCAGTTAAGTTATGGCAGTTTATACCAGCTGAGGATCAGATATAATACTGACTTAAGAGTTCAGACCTGCTAATATAACATTCAGTGGGGTGAAATTTCATAGACAGCATGTTGTTCTAAAGAAAATTGAACTTTGAAATTTTTA